CACATGCGTTGCCTTTGAGCCCCTCCTAGAATTAAGGGGAGAATGGGTTAAGGCTCCGGTGTAATGCTTTTCACAGACGCCCAGTTAAGAGTGTTTTAGCAAAATTGACGATTTGGTCAGTATCTTTCGCGAATCACCCACACCAAATCGCCATTCATAGGAGCTCTATACACCCGGCGAAGAGTGAATTCTTTCAATATGCCAAAAAAAATTGCATTTATCTCATTTTTTATTACACACCACACCGTTTTTGAACTCATCATTCCTCACTCATCATAAATTAAAATTTCTAAATTTCAGATTACATTATTTTTTAATGTGTTAAGCAATGAAACTTGATAAGGTTTTTAACAGTAGATTACTTAAAAAAAACATCAGGATATTATATACGAAACAATTTTCGTTTATTATTGCAAAAAGCATTTGATTACACGCACGTTTTAGGTAAATACCTAAAGGTTAAATTTGCACCACGCATCATGATTTTAAAAATAAATTAAACAATTTTACTATAGCAATAATAATACAACAATAATGGGATTTCTTCTATATTTTTATCACATATGGCAATAAAAAGAATATTTACAGCTTTACAAAATATTTTTTTCAGTAAATCTCGATTAAACTATATTAATTAATATTAATAAAATAGGATTTTGATGATTTATCTATTAATAAAATTATTATAAATAGCCAGATAACGTCACAGTGTTATGGGATGCAACTGACCAAATAGTAAAGTATTTTAGAAGCCCTAACGTACTCTACAAAATTTTCAACCAAAAAAAAAAATAAGAGCATAGAATAAAGCGCATTAACTCCAATGTCCAACTGTCTACATAATTTTAGTTTAAAAAAAAAAATACATGTCTTATAATCTTTTAATCATATCTTAATGAAAAGGTTGACACTTTATTAGTTTTTCATTTTAAAATAAGATAGGATTATCTTTAAGTTTCAAATAAATTCCAAAGTTATTACATGTTCACTGTGTCCGTGTGGTGACGGATTAACAATACGAGTGTCACCATCCCCATTTGTCCCGTGGGTGTCGTAAGAGCCGAATAATGAAACAAACTACGCAGGACAACAGCACTGCAAAGAGAAGGAAAACTTGAGACAACCCTGTACCGACCCGTCTGGCCAGCGTGGTATATCAGGCCAAAACTTCCTATCTAAGAAGCCCATGTCCAGCAGTGGACTAATAAAGGCTGTTGATGACATCTCTACTTCTCTCTCTCCTCGCTACCCGAACAAAAATCTTCTTCGTCTCAGCCTAAAAGATTGTATTATGGAGTTAATTTGCTTTGATCTATAACCCTCTTATATTGAACACGTATAAAAATGATTTACAACATGTTATTTTAGTAGAAATAACTATTCTATACACATATCTACTTATTATATAACATATACTGTGTTTTAGTTACATAATATTGCTGCGAATTATACTAGTTTATTGTAACTTCTAGTGGGTTTAGCTACGTTGTAAAAAATTAAATACACTAAATGTCTACATGATGTATATATATATATATATATATATATATATATATATATATATATATATATATATATATATATATATATATATTAATAATGACAAACATTAAATTTTATATACAGATTTTCCAAATCACGTTGATAAAATATTCTACAAAATTCTAACACATATGATGTTGTATTTACTACAAGCTAACAGATTTAAATTGAGGGAAACGGATAAAAAAATATGGACGGATTTAAAAGAAATGGTATTAAATAGCATTTTGATTCACATTAAAGTAAATAAAGTTAACTTTAAGAAAGTGTCTTTGACTTCAATGCGCCTAAAGCAATGATCACCAAATGGAGGACCGCGGTCCGAATCCAGATCGCCAACCTTTTAGGTGCAGATCCAGAAAAAATAAGAAATCTTAATATGTAAAATCTTAACTGTGAAGCAGAGTTTTCTAAGGTGAACTTTATTAAAAATAAATTTCGATGTCGGCTTACTGATGACCTTTTCCAGGATTTAAGGGCAATAATATGCCAACTTAATTCCAGACTTTCTAGATAATTCAGAGTAAAACTTCGTTATTTTTTCATTAGATGTATCCTTAATAAAAAGTGTACAGATCTCTTTTCCTTTTATTTTTAAATTGATGTTTTAAATTTTGGTTACTATCAGCTATTTTTAAACTGACCCAAAATGAAATTAATTGGCGATCTCTGGCCTACATGATGATGAATTTTAATTAATCGAATTAATTTTCCACCCTTGGAATTTGAATGTGGCCAAACGGGCAGTATTACGTGAAAAAATTAAAGTCGGTTCAGAAATGACGGAGTTTTACGGTAAGAAAGAAAAAAAGTTGCAACTGAATTGTGAAACTTTTTTTGAAGTCAAGAAAAATAGCTTTTTTTTTAAAATAAATACAACAAATAATATGTCTTTCAGTGTATATTACGTGTTGTTAAAGAGTTAGTTGTAGTATCTAAAGAAGTCACAACCATTTATTATTACTTTTTTTTTACAATTACAGCCAGTATGTGATCTCCGCACACACATTAACACACAGAATTGGCTATATAATATTTTTACTAAAAATTACAATCTAATTTTTTATCTAGTTCTTTTACATATACTTTGAGCCTATGTTACTTATTCAAAAGGAAGACACATTGAATTTACAATAGCGAATGTCTTAAAAAATTGTTGCCTGAAAAAAATAAAATAAAAGAACATTTTTTCCTCTTGCCCTTAATGTACAAATAAGTCAACATGCAAAATTATTTAAAGTAAAACACTTTTGGTGTTTGTAAATATTGAAAATTTAATAAATTAAAAAAAATAACGTATTTTTTTCAAACAACAATTCCCTGACATTTCGTGAGAACGCAGAAATATTAGCTAATGCGGTTAATATGGACATTGACACGACTAAATAAATACTCAATATTGAAGGATACAAAGAAAAGTATTTATTTTTAACCACAGACAACATTAAAGTCTCTACTTTTAATAGAAGAATAAAAGGAGAAGAATATGATAATAAAAGGTTATTTAAGAAAAAAAAAAGTGTAATGTTTGAATTCTAAATTTAAAAGAAAACTGTTAAAGGTACACTTCAATTCAAAAGCATTCAGAGGTATCTTCGACTTCGACGTATTATTTTTACATACGTGCAGTTAAAGTATTAAAAGAACGACAGGGCTGACAATTCAGTTTAGTGCAAGGGAAAAGTTTACTTCATTTATTTTTATTTTATTTTTGGAAATTTTAATAGAGTTGAAAGTAAAGAAAAGCGTATAGTGCCAACATTAGTCAAGTTAGTAAAGGTCTTTGCACACTGGTTACTTTTTACAATCAAATCTTGTAATCCAAGTAATATATACACTTCATCACTGTTGAATCACAAGATTTCTAAAAGTAAAATGTGCATGGACCGTAATTCCATACAACTATAAACATTTAAAACGATGAGTTTGACACAACACTGACACATCAAATCTAACGGGTTTGTTATTAACCGTAGCACATCAATAATTATTTTAAAATCCTTTTTTTTTCTATTGAAGCGTTATTTGTCCCCATTATAGTATCTTCCTATTTAAAATATAAATAAAATCGTAATGTTAATCCTAACTGACTGATATAACTATTTACGACTAATCTTACTACAAGTCTATTAATTACTTATCTGCTATATCCATAACATTCATTTATTTATTCTACAAAAACAAACGTATAATGTCATTAAAATTTACAAATGAAAGAAAAACACTTACTAATTTATCGGAAATATTTTAACAGAGCAGATAAAACACACATTTCTTGACTTTATCAATGTTTTTCTTTTATAATAATCTTTACTTTTATTGCGTACAAATAAACAAACAAAATAGTAACAAAATAAGAAAACATTTTTAAAAATTAATACTGATTTAAAATAAAAAGTTCTTACAGTATTAGCTAGGTATTTACCTGTGATTCGTTAAATGACTGACTATAAAGTTACAATTATTATTTAACGCTACCTACAACTGTACAGTATAAATAATTTAGTTTAATTTATTTTCATAGTAATTTGTTTTTCTATATTTATAAAACTTTGGCATTTCTTCATGTTTACAATCTTACAATTAGGCCCTTAGATTTACAAACCTACTTATTAGTTTATATCAGATAATGATTTTTAAAATGTTTACAATGGAATGATTCTATTTAACAATTCTTTTTATAGCGAAACTCATCATTACTAGAAATGTGAAGAAATCAAGCCAAAATGCCTTAACATGAATAAGTATCAGCTTACAAATAATAAGGATTTTTGGATATCTAGAAATGTCTTTGGTATGATTACAGTATGAAAATTATTTGCATCTAACATAGTAAATGAATTACATACAGATATATTTACAATTTCTTATCATCGATATTTTATATACCGTATTTTCTTCTATGTATTTTAAATTACAACTCTATTGCTGCGTATTTAAATTTATTTCACTATGATTGCTATTACATTATGTTCAATGAACTGTCAATTACAATAACTTACTAACTACAAAATATACCTATATATACAAACTAACACTAATTTATGCAATACTTTAATTTTAATACTTATATATTGCTAAATGAAGGATAAAGGAAACGTATCCATTTGTGCTACGAAAGATAGGTCTCATATAGATAGATATCACAGGTAGAAAATTAAATTATGTTTAAACATTGATGGTAATAAATATCAAATAAATGGTAATAATATTCTACCCTCATCTCCATTAAAAAAAACGATTAATCGAGAACTATTATTGCTTTTATAACCCTATATCAATTAATAGCCAATAATTTACAAAATGTATAACACACATTATTTATAGTACACATACTTGTTCGACAGCTCTATATAAATCACATTAACTTTGGGTATAAGTACATGAGTGTCCTTAAATACTTCGTTGAGACTTTACTAGGCCTCTCAAACTGCTGTCACTTTAGACAATGACGGTATTCAGAGGGATGCCAAATCCGAAGTCCTTCTAGAAGCTACGGGTACTCTGAGTTGCGTTGATCCTCTTCGATCTAATCTCTCCATCGCATCCAAATCAGAAGCACTTCGTTTACAAAAACTACAGAACGCACATGCTAAAGTGTTTTTAAACGCATTACGAAAGTCTCTATTGAAGTATGCGTAAATTATTGGATTTAATGCAGAGTTGAAGTAACCAGTCCAAAACATGATCACTGTTACAACTTCTGGCACGGTGCACGTATCGCACAGTGATGTCGACACGTAGTACAAGAAGAACGGAAGCCAACATAAGATGAAGGCACCCATTATAATGCCGAGGGTCCTCGCTGCCTTGTGTTCTCTTTTCATTTTGAGAATATTTCTGTCTTTCGTTGGAGTTGTCGCACTGATATGTAATGCACCATTTTTATCGCTAACATCTCGAGAAGGCCTATGCATGAGCATTGCGTTACCAGCTCGTGCATACAAGTTCTTCTCCTGCCGATTCGCTTCTTGGAATATTGCGTAATAAGTAAATAGCATTATAGTGCAGGGGATCCAGAATGAAATTGAGCTGGATATTACTGCATACGGCTTATTTACTTTGAAATCGCATTGGTCATTTTGCTGCACTAAGAAATCACTGGTTGTATACCAGCCCATAAAAATTGGTACGTACGATATTGTAATTGGACTTAGCCATGTTGCTGCTAACATAATGTATGCCATCTGAAACAAATAAAACAATTTAAAAAAAAACATTTGTATACAACTATGAAAAGGTAACTCCCGCACTAGGGAGATATGCTGTGTTGCAGGGAACTTTACAAACATACATGGAAACGGACAGAAAGAACACATTAAACCCACACGGTGAGCATGAACGCGCCTAGGTCCACGGTATTGTCTTATTAGTAATATCTAATGAACACATCATAATATAAAAAGAATTTTCTTAAAATTATTTTAATATTATTGCTTAAGATAATGCATTATACCTAAATATGTAAATTGCAATTCTCAAATTGAAATGTAATCCAAAAAAGTTACTGATCGTTGTATTCTCGACATCATTTCAACTGACACGGTCGGTAGCTCTTAATTAAAACTTTTACATTCTACATATATTATTTTAATTAATAATTAGTTTCACTGGGCGGAGTTTGGAATGAAATTCGTTAAATTCTCGAATTTGTAATTTAAGGGATTCCTGTGTGATATAATTCGCTTAGTGTAGGATGTTTAGTAAAACCTGACATAATAGGATTTTCTTATAAACAAGAAGTTTAGATATTCTATCGATTTATTAAGGTTAGCAAAAGATATCAACATTTTAATTAAGTTCCTTTGTTATACCAACGTGACATAAGCAACGATAGCGAGACAGCTCGGCTTAAAACCGCCTACAGTAGGTTGATTTTTAAGTGCCAAAGACCATCAATGGACAAATGGATAGATGACGATGTCCAATCCATAGAATTGGATCCACAAGTCGATGGTCACGACTTCAATAGAGTACCAAGTCTGGATTCAGCAGAATCTGAAGACGACCACGATGGGGCCTAAACCACCTATTGTGACGCCGTATCCTTCAGCAAAAGCTTTGAGTGCTCTGAGAAACGGTTCTTATAGACTATGAATGTATAATTTCGGTCAATATCTCGATGCAGAAGTCGAAAGTTTATTTGGGAACTATTCCATACAAACATTTTGCTTAATTTTGATATAAAATATAATATTTACTGGTGTAATATTTGTTGAATTTCATTATAAACACACTTTCATTATAATTCTCCGAAGATATTAGTTAAATGTAGTTGCATAAGGAGGTACTATATGTGGTAATAAGTAATGTCGTAAAAAGTAATGTTTTTAATAAGACTTTCATATTGCATTCAGCCGGTACCCTTGATTTTGGTCAATATTGCCGGTATGTTGTTCTAAACGATGACGTCAGAAACGGTTTTAACTATACTTCAAAAAGCGTTTAGAGATCTAACTTCCTTATTTATAATATTAAATGGCTTTACTATACAATTTATCATTGATACATGGATATTTGCAAAATTTTTAGATGACTACATATCACTTTTTTTAAACAGAATGCAAGCAACATTAAAATTGTAACAAAGGCATAAAAATAACTTTTATTTCATCTTCATTCGGAGTTACCATATTTTACAAAAAATGATTGTGAATAATAGAATGGCAACAATTTTATTAGATAATAGATTTCAGAAATTTTAAAAGCGGAGGACAAACGTCTGGCCTTACGTCAGTTTAGGGGTGGCAGCAGCCGGCAGGATGTCGTTGAGTATAGTCATATACTACACTGACATCACATTAGTAGTACTAGTAGTATCTACGTTGTACCCGTACGATTGTACATAAAGATGTCTTGTAGTATATAGTCTTATCCTAATAGTCCGTGTGGTGACGGATTAAGAATACAGAGTGTCACCACCCCTATTCATCCCGTAGGTGTCGTAAGAGCCGACTAAGGGAAAAAACTACGCAGAACAACAGCACTGAAGCTACTACAGCAGGAAAACTTGACACAAACCCTATACCAACCCGTCTGGCCAGCGTGGTATAGTAGGCCAAAACCTCCTTTCTAAGGAGAGGCTTATGTCCAGCAGTGGACTATTAAAGGCTGTTGGTGATGATGATGAATAATAGTATAATTAATTATTTCACACAGACACCGCGTTCGTAGTATCTACGTAGCACAAGTGTAATCCGCGGCGAATCGCTAGTAATAAATAAAATCCAAATTTCTTCCGTTGAAACAAACATTCCGTTCACATATATACATTCTACATCATAGTAATCGAGTCCTACTAACGAGGGCCCTGAACAAATAAGATTTATTATTACCAATCGTGAGGTATGTGTTTAAACAGGCGAGTTCATATTGGCTGATATTCCTTTCATAATAACTAACTGGTTGTTTACTAGTAACAGACAACCAATCAATGTAAAGTAGTTATATCTTTTGAACTGTAACATTCTTATTCAAAGAGCTCTTTGCGTACGTCTATAAATTACATTGCACTTGAACATTTTATAGGTTTTATGGAGAAAAGAGAACAGAAGAAACTGGTGCTCACTTTACATTTTTTAAATAAAATGAAAAAAAAAAAAGTTACTATAAAAACTTTCGTTAATGCATTTCGGTAACACTCAAATAGTTTTGATGAGGGCCGTTTTTCAAAGAATCAAGCTTCCTTCCACGATGGAGTTTGCGCGCAAGTGTGTGTACTTGTGTATATGTCATTAAAATAGCAAAATAAATTATATCACAAAGAAGAACGACACAAATAAACATACCTTTTTAGTCATCTTGATAGGATATTTTAATGGCTTCACAATAGCGTAGTATCTGTCTACTGATATACAACATAGATGCAAAATAGACGTCGATGTAAAGTACACATCCGAGGAGTTCCACAGATCACAAATAGTTGGGCCGAACAGCCATTTGTCGTTGAATTGTACACTGAAGTTGAACGGCATAACGACCATCGCTACTAGTATGTCTGCGAACGCTAGGGAGACGACGAAGTAGTTGGTAATTACACGTAGCTTCCTGGGGACAAAAATTATCAATAAATTACAATTAAATACAAAAAGCTTTTTATTCTACACTTGCGTAAAAATGCTCGACTAATTTCGAACTCAACGGGGTCCGAACTCAGTCGAACGGAACTAGATTGGTATAGTATGGTATAGGTAGTCCGTGTGGTGACGGATTAAGAATACAGAGTATCACCACTCCTATTCATACCGTCGTAAGAGTCGATCAAGGGAGCAAACTACGCAGGACAACAGCACTGCAGAGAGAAGAAAAACTTGACACAAACCCTATACCAACCCGTCTGGCCAGCGTGGTACAGTAGGCCAAAACCTCCTTTCTAAGAAGAGGCCTATGTCCAGCAGTGGACTATTAAAGGCTGTTGATGATGATGATGATGATAGGGGTAAAAGAGCAGACGGTTCACCAGATAGTAAGCGACTACCGCCACCCATAGATACATACTATTCAAGAGACACAAGAGCCGGCCAATATTATTATATGCCGAAGCGTGACTCTTCCACTTATTTACTAGATTATCTACTAGATTTCAGAATCACAGTTAATTGCCCGATTGACGGCAACATACTTGCTCCCTATTAAGTACGGATCACAATAAAAACATTTAGCAAAATGTGAACATATAATACGTTTCTACCTACCCCAGAGACAGTGTAAGTGTGTTTATGTTTGAGTGTGTAGATGACTCTTAGTAATATACAGATACTTTCAGTATGAAATTGTAACAGAAACTTATTTGAAGTGTTCGGGTCAAATGTCCGTGAATAATAAAGTCATTTGTGAAGCCATTCCCGCGACTGATGTTGTATCAAAATAGACTGGTGGTAAGGGGAAAAGGATAAATAAGTTTTGATTGCTTTGGAGAAACTTCTAGACGGCCGTCGGTACATACTACGGGTCTGGAATCGGAAAGGCTGTTTCACAATGAACATAGTATACCATGGATGTAAAGTTATTTTAGTACGAAAAATGTATTTTCCGCATATTATGTTATCTTTACTAAAGGCTGTAGTTTTTCTATACTAACAAAATAGTTTAATTGGCACGTTTTATGACTTTGTAAACAATAATACTATACTATTTAGACCGCGGTGGGAATTAGACGATTTTTTCTAATTTTCATTGTGTACCTTCAGGCTAACTTTTGCTATATTTAAGCCTAAAATTAAATTATATTTCTTAAGCGTCGTAGTCGGAATCATAGATATGATGTGTACATTTTAACCTAACCATGATAATAACTAAATTCTCCAAAAACTTTTTGGTTAGCCAACATTTGAATAATTAATAGAAAAATTGGACCCATCGTCACGGGTGATTAAAACTTAGCGACGCCCCCATGATGTATGAGTGTCGATAAAAATCCAAACTTGGTCTTCTTTTTTATTTTATTATATGTGTATGAATCTACACATATTGGAAATAATGCATTACAAATATTATTTTAGTAAGAAGTTTTTTATTTTGTGTGTTACCATAAAGCTCAGCTTTAGTAGTAACACACAAAAACTTCAACAATTTTTCGTACCGATCTTCTTTGTAGTTTGTTTGTATGTTTGCTTTATTTTCAAATTTCAGAAAAGATAATAGTCTTGTCTACGGCATATCCAAAAAATACCATTTAATTTACGACTTCTCTAAATACTCTCTTTAAAATATTAATTAAAATCAAAGTTGTTCTGGTTCAAAGTGAACTGACCCTACCTAAGCTAAGACTTGTCTTAATTTAGTTTTCAAGAATGAATTATAAATGACGAACGCTTATCCTTAAATTAAACTGTTTGTTTAATGAGATAAACTTTAAATGAAATATTAGAACTGACACTAATGAGGTAACTTTTCGTACTTAAAGATAAAATTACGAAATGAAGTGTCACTTGACTTTATAAGGATATCCTGATATTAAAATAAAGTTTGTTGATAACCTGTGGCGTTATACGAATTTGAATTATTATTGCAAAATAAATATTTCAAGTGTGGCGACGAATTAAGAATACAGAATGTCACCACCCCTATTTATCCCGTGGGTGTCGTAAGAGCCTAAGAGCCTAAGAACTAAGGGAGAAAACTACGCAAAACAACAGCACTGCAGAGGGAAGGAAAACTTGACACAAGCCCTATACCAACCCGTCTGGCCAGCGTGGTATAGTAGGCCAAAAGCCTCCTTTCTAAGGAGAGGCCTATGTCCAGCAGTGGACTATTAAAGGCTGTTGATATGTGATGTGAAATGAACTGGTTAAATGTTACAATTACTAGCAGTTTTTCGCAGTTTCACCTATGTTTATCGTCTACCTAATGATTGTAAAGAGATTTTTTTATAATTATCTTAAATCAATCATAAAGAAATTAAAACTTCATCTAATTGGAAAGGAGACTGGCAGTTACAAAGATTAGCTCGTTGAAATAAGCAAATAAAACTATTCTTTAGATTTGTTACAGCATATTATAGGAAGTTTATATTCTAAAATCTCGTTATACTTCTTAAACAGTCAATTTGATAGACTTTGGTGCAATGAATACACAAATAAAAACAAAAATTCTTATTGTTTTCGAACAAGATAGCGATAAAACCACTAGAGTGCTTGTGCCTTAAAAAGTCACTCAAATCAACTTCAATAAAGAAAAGCAGATACATTTTGTGGGTTGTAATTGAATCAATCACTTGAAGGTTCTTTAATGTAAAAGTTCTCCTCAAATATCTTAACTTGAGATTTCTTGATTTAAATTACATTGGAAGGAAATTGTATGAAACAATTTTAATAGAATTGGTCCTAATTAGGAACAATAAAGTCATCATAGGTCAATAGCTTTGATTCTTACTGAATCAGTTGAGTTTTGAGATACCTCGAGAACAACATAAAACATGTAAATATCAAAATTGGTTGCAGCTTAAAAATAAAAGACGACTTTTGGGATCTATGAAATGATATTTGTTTCTGCAAATAAATCTTTTCAGATATTTATACAAGTCGGACTTTACAGCTAGAAGGGATCGGCATTTCCTAATACTCGCAAACCACAGAGGTGTCTTTTTTTTAAGTCCGTGTACAATGTTAAAGAGAACTATGTGAGTGCAGTATAGGCTTAGCTATAGCTATATATCTTTAGCTTTTATAAGTGTAGTGAGGCCTATGTCTGTCTGTCAGTGGACTAGTGAAGGCTGTTGATGATGATGATGATGTGTAGTGAAACATTTTACTTGATATTGAACTCTAATGGTGAAAACTGACGCCCAAGATCTGTTTTCATATTTACAAGTAAAGCTAATACAAAAGTTTAATAAAAAGCACATTAAATAAATACAAACCTATGTCTCATGACACTGACAATGACGAGCATATTGCCCAACACTGCCATGATGACGATCAGTAGCAGTACTGACATCCGCAGCTTGAAGAATATCGTCTGAGTGAGGTCATCATGGCCGGTTTCTGCGACTGTGGTGTTAACAGTCGCATTGACCGTCGCGTTCAGTGCCGCGTGCTGGTCTAAATTTAGGCGATCCATATGGGGTGTCCTGGAAAACAAACCAAGTGTTGTAAACTCCTAATAAATCTACTTCTCAGGGACATTAATTTGGACGTACCCTATCTTGCTTTCTATGGCCCCAGCAATGTTTAAGTTTTGAGAATGTCGGTTGAGAAATTAAGTTGGAAAAGCATAACAAAGAAAAAAGCCTAAGTTTGCATGTAATACAAATATATTCAACACCACCCAAATTTTGAATGGAAGAAAATTCCCTGGGCATTAAGTCCGCCGATGTACAAAAGTTTATTTTAAATAATTCAGCCACATTTAGAATTACATAAGAATTGCCCCACATACAACAAGTTATGAGAAAGATAAAAATAAATTCTAATACAACACATAAAATACATATTTAAAATGCGCTTCCGGGTGATCTACCTGGAAGCGCATTGTAAAAAAGAAATAATTATTTTTATTTCATTCGGGGAACCTTTTGACATTATTATTTTCAGGCAAATCAGGATATTATGTATTAGAAATATATATTTAATCATACTTTTCTGCCCGTTATTTAGTGAAATATTAGCCACATCTATGTTTAAGACTAACACAAAATTTAATTATTTTTTTTAAATAAAAAAATCTTGTAATATTTATAAGAAAGAGATTTGTTAATTTCTTGTCGAACACTTTTCAAGTGGACTTTGCAGTTAAAAACCGTCGAGATATTCTCTGCAAATTATTTAACCTCATCTTGTGAATATTCCTTTCTGCCTTTTAAAAGTTGACCAGGCCTTAAATTTAATTTAAAATTCTTTTGCCGAGCTCCATACACATTTGTAACTTTATATAGCTATAAAAACACTTGTAAGATTAAAATGAAAAATGTGGTGTATTAGTGAGCTAATATTAGAAATGTAAAAGGAAGTGTTTTATTATTGAAGATCTGCGCCCAAGTGAACTAAGACTGAAAGCTTCTATGAAATTAGGATACATATAATTAAGTATTTTGGGTAAAATATAAAAAAATTGGTCTCAATTACCTATACTAACCATATAGGTTACATGTTTCGCCGTGTTTGCAATTATAAATACGTCCTGTATTTCAATCAACATCATTACGAGCATACTATATGATCACACACGCTTATGCTTATAAATAGAAGAGGATCAAGCAAAGAAGGAATCTTAACAACAGTCTGCTAACATTTTATCGGTCTCTTTTTGGGTAACTTCTCAATCCCTTTTCGTTAAATATGGCCACCACTTTGGCGAGTACTAGCCAAGAAGAGCATGAGATAAAATTTTGAACAAGATCAGTTTTTTTTTCATCTAATACTGTATCTAGCTTCACTATATTCAGCTGTACGTTCTACTCCTTTGTGTTGTAGTTATTCCTATATCTCTAACTATTCATATTGTCTAAATACGTAGTTCTTTAAAATACCTACAAAATTCGACATCGATATTATTCGCCTCAGTAATTACGTACAAAGAGTATTACTTTACTAATTGGGTTGTAAGGTATTGTGTTTGGTGCTCGATTTATTTCTGGAATCTCATTCAAGCCAATGAGATGAAATGATGTCAAGAAATCGTAAGATATCGTATAATTTGACTGATATACAAAATGACGAAATCTATGTTGTCGTCTTGAAAATATTCAAGTTCATTATATTATCATATTTTAAATTGATTATGAAGGATGCTGGGTAAAAGTTTACACAAATATAAGTGTGTGTAAGTGATGCTGTGCGACCTTCTGCAAATATGCTAAGCAATCCAGAATGATTCCTATTTTGTCAGGATGTAGATTGTTTCAGCTCAACGTGGAATCCGAGAGTAGAGGTAGAAAATGAGTAAACTTTTTATTGTTGATTAATAGAACGGTACCTTAAAGAAATGAAGTGTGAACGAAACTCCAGTCATTAATATACTCGTCAAACAGGAGAATGTAGTAAATTTTTATAAATTCGCTTTAAAATTGCTTCTTGGATAAATACCTTCAAAATTGTGAACGCATAGAAAGACTCAAAGTGAGCAATAGACAGAAAAAGACAGGATATTATCAAAACTATTTAGTGCAGGTAATAACATCCGTGCCCCGACTTTCTTTAAAGAGAGTATCTTTAAATCTTTTTTTGCAAAGCCAAAGTTTCTATGTTCTAGATGAAGTTCCCAAGACAAACAAAAACCGAAAATATATCATAAGGGACGGCACGGTTGAAATATATTGGGCTTGACCCTGGTATCTCTCTGAAGATTATTATTTCCGGCGGTCCTCGTGGCATTAATAATGACTTCTTCACAGATATAATCAATAGGAAAAAGTAATTTCAATAGAACCTGTATAGAATACAATAGAATACTGAAATTTATTATACTTAGACTATTCGTAAGATTTTCCACTAAAACTCTTCTCTTTCTGAACTTTCGTCTTTTTTTTTCGTCCGTGCGGAAATCCTCTCGGATACCACCCACCGGTGGTTATATCGGGCATGAACCAACCAAAAACCGCACACAGTCTCGGGTATCAGTAGCCGGAGAACCAGGTGTACCCAGGAAGTAAATCCCTGGAACTCCGACGGACTCCGGGCCATCTACGGCTTGTAGATGAACCCCTCGTGTGTGGGAATCACGGGGTTCCCATTCTGCAACCTAAAGGGCGTGCGCGCTACACAGCGCGTCTCGCCCCTTAGCGACAGCGGCAATGTTGATGGACCTCTGTGATATACTCTGGAGCAGAAGATCCTGAGTACCAGCACCGTGGCCCACGTTCAACTGGAGGATACGGATATGTGGATCCATGAGGATCCATAATTGGAGTTCCATCTCAGCATCCCGCCGTGAACTTTGGCGCTCTCTAGCGGCAGCTTGGGAGCTGCCGAAGCCGTTAGGCTCCGGGTTCCTAAGTTTGCCAGTCAGGCTTACGACTTAGCTAGACTGTGGTCTGCATTAGATCAGTGTCCACCAACTCTGGACAAAGTCAACGGTAAAGAACTCGTCCGCCCTCTAGTTTAATCTCCACTGTGCCCTCCACTACAAAGAGGGACGGAAAGCCTCCGAGCAACTCAGGAGAATTGATCCCACCTCGGCCTTAGTTGGTCGTAGGTAGCAGCGCTTCCCCCACCTAGGGAAAGAGGCGCTGCCGACTTTCTTGCCCAGGGTGCACCATGCGGAGGTCCGGACCCTGTACTCCTCTGAACTTTCACCTGCCTTTTTATTTTGTTACTTACTCCTAGTATCTTGCGCTGTACATACGCAAAAGGATATGTTTTTATAAATATTATTAAGCTCATACTATCAAGCCATAAAAAATATTGATGAAATATGCTCAAACTTAGGTTTTATTCCTATAATTCATAAGACTTACTAACTGCTTAAGGCAACTCTCGGAGCGAAGTGAATCAATTACATTCTGAAACTTGATTCCCTTGTCTTACATAATATACGTATACCTAAAAATTGTATACATTTTAACATCAAATTGACAGCTGCCGCTACTTTGAATGAGTAAATTTTCTTGAGATTTATTACGTAAGACGAAGACTCATCAATTTTAGGATCGAGATTTTGGCTGAGTTATGCCTGCGGCGTTTTGGCAACAAAATCTATCTCTTTTATACCAAAGGCCCCGTAGTTCATGTATGTTCTGAATTAATAGTCTACTTTCGAACTGCTGAAATGGTTTCGAAATGTTTTGCTGCACTGACTAATTGATTTATAGGCACCTTATAACTTAAAAATTCAAAAAATGGTTAGTAATGTTTTTCAAGGAAAAATCATCACGCTGCGCACCTCATATATAATATAATAATAATATAAAATTGTACCACATTCACACAACGCCATCTAGTCCCAAACTAAGCTGAGATTGTACTATGGGTACCAGACAACTGATATAAGTACATAAATACTTTTTTTTTGTAAATACATAGAAACACCCCGACCAAATCAAACATTAAATGTTCATGCACACAAATGTTTGTCTTGAGCGGGAATCGAACCCGCGACCATTCGAATAGCAGTCCGTTACCCAAACCACTACGCCATCCAGTCGTCAATATAACTGCTTACCAGTGCAATTTATGCGTAGTCAATACCAATAGTATTACTTCTAACTCTATCTCTAGCTCTGATGCACAGAGAAAAGTAACATTTGTCTGATACCAGACTGGGGCCACAGAATAAACAAGATTTAGTAACAGCCGCGAAATTTACAGAAACAACATTTATTACCAATATTAGATGAAATTTTCGCACTCAGTAAAAGTATTTAGACTTTTTATACATATACCTAATATTTTCATAAGCAACCTTTGTCTTCTACAAGGCTAGGGCCACAGCATAATGGGCACGCCGTCATCGCGGCGGTAAGACCCGTTATGGAGGATTGGCTCGAGAGGCGTCACGGGACCCTCTCACGCCTACTCGTCGTCTACTCGTCTGTAGATGACCCGAGGTATGTCGGGGCACCAGGGACTTCCTTTCTAGGGTATACCTGGTTCCCCGGCTATTAGTACCCGAGACGGCGTGCGGTTTTAGTCGGTTCGAGTCCGACATGCCACCGACAGGTGGTATCCGAGGGGATTTCCGCACGGAAAAAAAAGGGCCACACACAAATTTACAGAAACAATGTATGTTAATAATATTAGATGAATTTTCTCACTCAGTAAAAGTATAAAGACTTTTTATACAAATATCTAACGTTTTCATAAGCCTAGACAATTTACACCTGGATTAGTAATATCCATAAAATAAAGTGAACATTTATATAGCTGCTCATAATTTCCTCGTAAATCTCCTCTTACCTTAGACAAATGAGATATTATGAGACTTTCTGAGATTACAACTCTAAGAAAGCTGGATAATAGACAGTAATATTTTTTAAAGACTTTTCTGTGTAATAATATTTGAACAAGAACAGTGAAAATCAGAATCAGGAGATGATTAATTTAGAAACAAAAAATGTACACCAACAACCTCATCTTTTTCTATTTGTTAAGATGAAAATGCATGATTTTAGTAAAAGATTTGTCTTCGTTACCTTTATCTCGCTCGTTTTATCTCCGTTTCACTGACAATCCGACCGCCAGCCTTACTCACGATTGTACTCTGTATACCTGTCTCTTCACACATTATTAATTTAACCTTATAAACTCTGTCCAAGAACATATTTCATTGAAATGTTTTCGTAAACTTTCTTCTTCACCCTCTCGACTCTAAGTTTTTCAGTTTTACAATGCATTTTAGAATTTAACTATTTCTTCATCTTCTCACGCTTCGTCCTCAGATCGTTCATCGTTCTGAAACAAAAGAGAATTATTTGATTATCTTCTAGTACTCGTAGTAGTAGTCTGAAATCCATTATATTTAGGTACGATTATTTTAATTTAAAAAAAAAATCTCTTTTTTCTTATTTTGCAAGAAAACCACAATAAAGAGGTACAAACAAAATTGATTGCTTAGGACAAGATGAACCTTGTAGTTATTAAAGAGATCACATTGACAACTGACACAGAAAAAAAGTTCCAATGCTACACGGAATAATTTATTAGTGTGGCCCTGTTCTAAGTTTAGTTTGAACTTCTGTGTCTGGGCTTACTTTTTGTACATATACAGATATAAATTTTGAAATAAGCTTTTCATATTGTATTATTAAGCTACATTAACAACACAGAACTAATAATTTCAATATTCTGGTATTTTATTACCTACCCTACTTTATTCAAATTTCAAGAAAATAAAATAAT